GGATAGGAAAGACAACAGAACTGGGACCAAGAGTAATGCAGGAAAACAAAAACAGGGCAATCAGAAATCAGCAGCACAACTGAACATATTAGCCAGCACCAGCCACTTCTCTCTGCTGTAATGCTTCCTGGATGCAGATTACCACTCTGAGCCTGAAACGGCGGGAGGAGAGGGCTGCCTTGGCACCACTAGTTGGCACAAATTTACTGGGTCAAGAGAAAGGCGAAGAGAAAGTGCCTTGTCTGGGCACATAGCATCCCAGTATCAAGGTTGGTGTCCCCTTCATCAATCCAGCAGAGAAAACAGGAAAGGGGGCAGAGAGAAACACTCCAATTACCAAGGCATGCCAGAGTGGGAGGCCAGCAAACCAGAGAGCTTCTTTCCAGGTGAATGGGACTTCTCGTGACTGGGCCCTGAACTCCCTTGCAGTTTGTTCTGCTGCTGGAGGATGGGCTGCAGCAGTCCCATATTGGCCCATTCCAGCTCCTTGCAGTCACCCATGCCGGGATTGCTGCAGAGTCTTTCCCTGTGGGGTATTTTAGTCTGGTTCAGAAGAGGGTGGAAATTCCAACTTGGGATCTGCTTCAGCTTCCTGGTGCAGGGCTTTGGGTGAAGGCTGGAGGGAAGCACCATTGGTGATGAAGAGGTGGAGGACATTGTTCCAGTGAGACTGCATCATGCCCTGGAACTGGCTGACCATCTCAGCTCAGTGAGCCTCCAGACCTGGCCTTGCACTCCCACAGGTCTTCCCTCTGTTTCAGAGGTGGGTTCCTACCAGTTCGCACCGGTTTGTCAAATCTACCGAACCGGTTAGAAGAGACTCCACTGGTGGACCCAGAAGTAAGTTCCGGAATGCCTGCCCCAACCCTGTCACTTGCTCGCCCTGCCCGTTCTGTCGCAGCTCGCTCACTCCCCGCCTGTCCACACTAAATTAGCCCAGGCTGCCGCTCACTGATTGGCTGGGGTCTTCAGGCATTACCTCGCATACGCCACATGGCCGAAAAGAGGTGGGCTGCTGCAGCGAGGGGGGAGAGAAGCTAGCTTATACCAGCTCGCAGCTTTCGCGAGGGAAGGCTTTCAGGCCTTGCTTCACAAAAGGCGTGAGCTGGAGTATGCCACATGGACGAAAGGAAGTTTCCTGCTACCCCTCGCCCACCCCATCTCCAGTCTCACCTGGCTGGCTAAGCCTGCCAGGTGGTGGGCCTTGCTGACCCAATTGTCCCTTGTCCCTTCAGTCCATCTTACCTGCTGCCTCATCGCCTGCCTGCTCCCTGCTGCATCCATGGTTTTATTGTAATTTATTTAAATTACAATGGTTTTATTGTAATTTATTGTGGATAGAATATTTTTAATGGTTTTATTGTAATTTATTGTGTATGGAATATTTTTAATGGTTTCATTTTAAATTATTGTGTGTGGAATACTTTTATTGTGTGTGCAATACTTTAAAATTTGTGAATGCATTTTAAATTATTGTTGGTAGAATCTTTTTTATATTGTCTTAGACTATTAAAAAAAAATTCTATCAACAATAAATTGAAATAAACCATTTAAAAATATTCTATACTCAATACATTTAAAAGTATTGTGTATAGAATATTTTTAAATGGTTTTATTGTAATTTATTGTGTATAGAATATTTTTAATGGTTTTATTGCAATTTATTGTGTATGGAACAGTGGTGGGTTTCAAAAATTGTTTGAACCTACTCTGTGGGTGTGGCCTCTTTTGTGGGAATGGCTTGCCGCCCATGTGACCGGATGGGAGTGGCTTGCCGCCCATGTGACCGGATATGAAGATNAAACCAGATCACTTACCAGAAGGCAGAATCAGCAGCTCTCCAATGTGATGGATGCAGGGAGCATGCAGGCGACGAGGGAGCAGTTAAGCTGGACTGAAGGGACAAGGTACAACCCAGTCAGCTAGGCCTGCCGCCTGGCAGGCTTAGCCAACCAGGTGAGGCTGTGGACTGGGTGTGGGGAGTTGCAAGGAAGGCTTCAGCCGAGCGCCACGCGGGCCTGCGGTCTAAACGAGCTCGGGGATCGTCTGGAATGAAGGCCCCAAAGGATCCCCGGACTTGCCAAGAGCGCAGAGACGCGGCAGGCCGCTGCAGCTGGCTTCCTGCCACCCCCCCCACCCCCCAACCTTCTTTCAGCCACGTAGCGTACGTGAGGCCACAGCTTTCACGAAGGAAGGCTTTCCTTTGCGAAGGCCCCGGTCTTGCGTACCGCCACCGCCACCTCCCAACCTCCTTTCAGCCATTCGGCATACGCAAGGTCACGGCTTTCCCGAAGGAACGCCTTCCTTCGTGAAAGCCATGGGCTGGTGTACCCTAGCCTCTCGCTGCCGACGCTGCCCCTTGCGCTTAGTTGTTTACCTGAGGGAAGCAGCAATAGCAGCAGTGAAGGTGAAGCGAAGCGAGGACCTGATCAGCAAGCAACGGCGCGACAGAGGTAAGTGGGCCGTTCGTGCCACGCTTTTAATTGGGCTGTTAGAGGTGGGCGGGGTGACTCCAGCCATTCAGTGAGCGGTGGGTGGGGCTAGCATAGTGTGGACAGGTGGAGGGAGCGAGCGAACAAGCAGTGACCGGATGGGCTGGGTGGAGCGAGTGAGCGAGGGTGCCGGGGCAGGCATTCCGGTACTGTTCCACTGGTGGAACGGGTTCTAAACCACATGGTAGATTTGTGGAACCTCTTCTACCGAACCGGTTAGAAGCGGCAGGACCCACTCCTGCGCCGTTGCCACCAATCAGCGATCCACGCCGCCTGGAACCGGATGAAAATGGGATGCACAAAGTATGAAAACGGGGTGCGTGGAGCCTGAAAATGGGGCGCACAGAGGCTGCGATGGGCAGCGGTGTTGGGTGCTGGCGATCCCTACAGCCTGGAATAGTTGATCAGCTGTATTCCAGGAGGCCGATCCAACCGCCAATCAGTTGCTCATGCTAAATCAGGCTGTGCTGAAGCTGACCAGGCTGTTTGTTGCAAGGAGGCAAATTGCTGGGAGGCAGAGGCCAAAGGGTGGGGGCCAGTGGGTGGGTGGGACTTTGGCAACATTTGCTCCGTAAGACCCACAGACATTTCCACCAACTTTTGGGGGTGGAGAAGTATGTCTTATAGGCCGAAAAACATGGTATATCAGCAGTTGAGCATCTTAAAATTCCCTATCTACTTGCCTGTCTTTAATAAATATGCTACCTTTTAAAAGAGAAACTTTTCATATAATGTCATTCTTAAATACAATTTTAATTATTCATTATCAAGTGATCCTCTGAGTAATGTAGAATATAAAATTCCCATCCTCTGTAGTATGCTACTAGGAAAGAACAGATGAGGGAAACATCAGTAATATAAGAATGTTACTTTATTATTTTGGAATAGTAGCAACGAAATGTTAAAGAGTCATTCCCTGGTCATCTTTAGTCTGGACTACTGCAATGCACTCTACATGGAGCTACCCTTGAAGAAATTCAGAAGCTTCAACTGGTGCACAGTGCAGCACTATGGGTAGTTCTTGGCACCCCGAGAGGGGCCCGTGTTATACCAAGCTGCATTGTCTGTTAGTTTGCTTCTGGGTGCAATTCAAGATGTTGGTTATTACTTTTAAAGCCCTGCATGGGTTCAGTTTATTGAGGAACTGTCTCACCCATTGGGGCTGGCCTGCGCCATCCACATCGGCAAAGGAGACAGGCTGCAGACCCCATCAGTCAAGGAATTCCAGCTGATGGGGTCCAGGAGAAGAGCCTTCTCTGCAATTGTTCCTGTCCTTTGGAACATCTTACCCCCGAAGTAAGATGGGCTCTCATTCTTCTGACCTTTGCAAGATCCTGAAAATCTGGCTATGCCAAATGGCTTGGACACCAGTGGGAGAACATCATACTGTAGATGGTTGATGAATTAACAGGCTCATCACCTCCCCCTCTGTACAACCTGTTCCTTCCCTTCCCATCTTTTAACTATAACTCTGTTTTTCATTGTAATGTCCATTTTTATTGTTATATTTATCTTTTATGCTTTTAATGCTTTTAAAGGTGTAACTCTCCCAAAGTTGCTTTGAAATGAGAAGGGTGGCAAATAAATGTAATTAATTTATTAATTGCATAAATAAATAAATAAATTTCTCTCTAAAATAATTTAGAAGAAATTATGTCACGCAATTTGTTTACCATACAGGCTTATGGATGTTCAGAATTCAGAATTTTTTTTAAAAAAACATGAAATATGAAATAAAAATTGATCGTTTGAGCAACTGAATTTGTAAGCTGCCCACTCCAAATGTCTTTGGACAGCTTAACAAAATTCAGTACCAAATGACCATAGCAAAAGAAATAGTGATGAAAACCCTCCATCGATGTTCCTCATAATACTCGGAGCCCATTCATCATTCTAACCCAAGGTGACATCCTGGAACGAGCATGTTATTTATCTATCTATCTATCTATCTATCTATCTATCTATCTATCTATCTATCTATCTATCTATCTATCTATCTATCTATCTATCTATCTAATCAAGCATGCATTGGATAACAGGGATATAAGGATAAACATGATTATGAATACCTGAAATGGATATGAATAAAAGGGAACATTAGGATAGGGACGATAGGCATGTTGGTGCGCTTATGCACGCCCCTTACAGACCTCTTAGGAATGGGGTGAGATCAACAGTAGACAAAGTAAGGTTAAAGTTTTGGGGGTTTGGGGAAGAAGCCACAGAATCATGATCCAGACAATATCATTCACCATTTGTGATCCTACCTTTCCTACAGTTTCTTCCAGCATTTTTCATGTTATAGAAGATCAATTAAGAAGGAAAATTAGAATAACTACACTGTGCTTTTTAAATAATTTGGGGGGAAACATTGCTTTATGTTGCAACTTTATTGAATTTTGCTTTGATCTCTTTTACTACAATTTTATTTTTCTTATTAATTTATTGTGTAAACTTCATCTGAAGAGTCTGAAGATACTTGAACTTGTGTTATGGATGTAAATTTATGGAATATTTTGTTTTTTTTGGTATTTTAGATTTTTTGGTGAACAGTGCTAAGGCTGATCTAACCTTGATGGATAATGACTTGAATACATCATTGCACTTGGCTAGCAGTAAAGTATGTTTAAATTTGTGTTTGGTTCTGTTTGGGTGAGCATGTCCTCAGAAGTGTGCAAAATATGTCAGATGTTGACACTTACATTAGAGAGTAAATAATTAATGTGTAAATTAAGCGCTGCATGAATCAGGGTTAGTACAAAGTGTATGGTTATATAGTTTTTTAATATATCATATGACTTGCAGCAACCAATACATACTAGTTTCAATATATGTATTTCATGAATGTGATAAACCTTTATATTAAAACACAGTGCACAAAACTAAATGAAATTATGATGAGGAAACAGTTTGGTTAAAATAAATCCTCATCAAAACATTTAACAGAATTTGCCCTTTCTCATTTTAAAAAAGTACATTTTTATTGTTTGTTCAGGTAGTGCTTACTTAGCAATCACAACTGGGACCGGTAATTGTCCCTGAGCGCCATGATTATTAAATGAAATAAAACCATGATTATTAAATGAAATAAAACATGTAATAAAACATGTAATAAATAAACATGTAATAAAATATGGGTACTTGAGAGACCGCCTGCTGCCAATTACCTCCACTAGACCGATTAGATCCCACAGATTAGGCCTCCTCCGA